AGGGATTTTCTTCTGCTCAAAAATGGTTATTGTGGAAATTCTGAATAGCATTTCGAGAAAAATTATTTTCGTCCGTGAACAGAATCGTTGATTCAAATTGCGGATTTTGTGTAATTTTTTGAACATACCACTGACAAAAGGTCACACGCCTTGGAAAATCAATGGGAAGTAATGCCTGTACTCTTAAAATATCATCAGGATATGACAAAAAATCCACTAAAATTCTCCAAACAATTTGATGGCAGATATTTAAGTGTCTAGCGATCTTCCTCGTACTCCTTTCAGGATGTTCTTCGACTTCGTGCAGCACTGCTTCCTCAATTTCAGGTGTTCTCACACTTAGAGGGTTCGGACAACCAATTTCAACAAGACGACGATGAATATTAGAAAAGGTAAGCCTATCTTGCAAAGCACGATCGGGATATCTCTGGTGATAAATCTGTCTGGCTTGCTCACCATTACCGTCGGCAAGGCCATATACGTAATGCATTTCCGCTATTTCTGCATTTGAATAATTCACCATTATTAACAAGATTGTAAAAACTAAATAATGAAAAAGATGTCACAGCGAACAGATTTGAATAACAGAGATTTGTCATATGTCAAATGCCAGTGACATATTCTAGATCAACTAGATATTTGTTGCTAAATTCCATTCTTCAATTATTACATTAATTTTCTCGGACAATAGAACGGTTTTTATTTTTTTACTCATTAAATGGCGATTCGAAAGAAGACAATTCCGGAGAAATCATTTGTTTTAAATACCCGTACGCAAGCCACTGTTAAAGCTAAAAATTATTTTTGCGTTGAAAAATATACGACTTTATTAACTGTCACTACGTACTAAATATCAGTGCAATATCTGAAGCTATTCTGAAAATATTAATTAATTTCCATTTTTTTCCTAAAACTCCAACACCCCGAGTTTTTGTAAGGAAACATTTTTGGACCATAGTTTGTAAAGCAAACTGACATTAACTTTTCATGTATATTTACATCCTCAAATATTCGCATATCATTAAGGAACACCCTGTATATACAGGGTGACTTTGAAGTTGAGTCATTAATTTTCAGATAATGATTGTAGAAGGAAGATAAACCAAAATATGTGTGTAAAAATAAAAAAAAACTAAAAAAAAATGTTACCTTGTTCTATAAAGTATCCCCCCGACAAGTATTTCAATGCGGACCTGTATTTGATCGTGCGGTCTTGGAGCACCGGCATGCACTCCCCTGTGAGGTCTTAAGTCATCTGATTCACGAGCCCTTTGTACTACATTAACAAAGGCACGAGGGGTTGGATGCACTCGATTGGGAAACCGATCCGCGTAAATTCGTGATGCCGCGGCAGCATTTTGTAAAGAATCATGTCCACAAGTTCAGCATTTTCGTAAACATGTGCCATTTTTTATTTCGTTTGAGCCACGCAACAAACACCACTATTCACTCACGCGTTACCGACTGACACATTGACTGAATACAACTGAATAAAATTGTAGTAAAAACCTCGTGATAAGCGTTTCAAATTCCTTCGCTTTTTTGTTTCCGATGCGATGAACCGATAAGGCGGATTATATCCGTTGTTGCCAAACACGAGCACATAATATTATTATTGAGACAGGGCGGTACTCAAACTTCTAAAGGGCTATAACTTTGTTACTTTAATTTTACCAGAAAAATGTTAAAGGCAAAAAACATTTCTTTTGATCAGATCTCCTCACTGTTAAAATAAATGACTCAACCCTGTATAGATATAAATGAAATGCAAATAGAAAAAAAATATCAAGTATATTTATGCAGATATGATTTGTGCAGCTTCCACCAAACATTTTTTCAAAGGTGCCTCCCCTTCCGTTTTTAACTGGAGATGCCCTTGTTCGACTAATTGCCAAGCATTTCTCGCAACGTGATAAGAAGTGACGATCTGACACCACACATACATACTTTCCAACTTCATTGTGGCGCCCCACCGGTAACCAAGGCTTTATCGACATATCAACCTACTAGTTCTTACGTAGAGTGTCCGCGGTCCTGTAAAATAATCTTCGCCATGAAGAAAGTGAAAATAAAAGATAAACAGTGCAAAGAAATTCCATTGCTGAGAGTCCAAACTCCAAAACTCCTGGACGTACCTAGGGAAGTCAAAAAGAAGTTGGAACCTGACACTAAAAAGAAACAGGTTGCTATTGAACGTATGTGCAAGATCGCGGGCAAAACTAAAGGTAAAGTGATGTCAAAAGAAGGCTATGCTGCACCAATTTGTACGCTAAAATCAGCAACGGCAAGCTGTTTCCGAGAATTTTCTGAAAAATGCCCTTCTACGGAGATGTCCAGGTTTCTGGAAAAGCGGATTAGGAAACAAATTCAAGCTAAAGGTCTCGAAGCAAAGTATCTTCAACTCGTCGCAGATATGATCAAGGTATGTAATCTAGAGATCAAAGAGCTATACAGAGTGTTTCCTAATTGAATGTCTGTGGCGATCTTTCGGTCGATTTCATATGAACGTATCTTCTGATCGTGTCAACGGTTGAGATATAGGGTGGTAAAATGATTGCAAAAATAGGCAAGTTTCGATACGAACGCCACTGGTCGAAACTAAGAAAAGTGTAGAATAATTTTACTAAAATATCCAAAGTGGTATTTACAGATATTAATAATAAATGATTTGTTTTTGAAAACTTTTACCTCCCAGCATCTCAAAAGTTAAGATGCTTAAGACATACGTTCATATGAAAATTTATTCTCAAGTCGCCACCTTAAATATCGACATACAATTACCGTATTTCGATTGGCTGGGAGCCATAACACAGAAAACACAATGTTTGCCAGTAACTCTTAAAGAGTTAGTTTTCAGAGGAAAGCTGGATCAACTAAGCGATGCGATGTGTAACTCCGACAAAACTGTTAACTGTTAACATTTGTTTAATGTCGTTCATGCAATTTTCGACATATTATCATTGAACTAAACGGATTTACATTATCTGCCTTGACTCATATTTCTCATAACAGTCATACCAAGACACTAGAAATTTGATCCTCTACTTTGATACGGACTAATATGTCAGTTTCTCGGATGCTTGTTCGCTGGGAGCGACGTGCATAGCGGGAGTAACTGAATCGCCCGTCGCTCAAGCGGTGGACAAAAAAGGAAATACCTTCAAACAGACAGTGAAAAAGCTGGTAAAATGGTGAGTACTTGGTACTACCATGATTGATACACTTGTCCGACTCCTTGAAGGGGACTTTCAATCAAGACGCTAGGAAGCTGTGCAATTTCTTGCTATCCACGCAGCGATCGGTAGTAGTCTAATCAGATTAGACGAAAATACCCCTGGTTTGCGAAATAATTTCAAAGTCTGGTTTTATTACTGCAAGCTGTTCAAGAGGGTATTCAAGACATGGGTGAACCAATTTTTGTGGGAAATCTCTCTATTCGACAACAAAAAATGAGAAAACGTGTTTTCTGAGATTCAATCGAAAGTGTTGGCAGGAATTTTTAGGTATTTATGAGACCTACAATAGAGGCCATACGTAAAAAGATCCGACTAATAGCAAAAAAGTTACGGCCGGAATCCGAGGCAAACTGCAGGTTTTGACCCTTGTTGGTAATGCGATGATGGTTTCTCGCAGATATTTGAAATTTTTCAAATTCGTAGGATTCGCACTTCTAAATAACCACAATAAAATTGGAGTTTTTGAGAATTTCTAATTGTTGATCCCAAAACACCTGTCTTCCGGTCATTACTACTAGTTTATTGAGCAGTAAACCGGGTTAGTTCAAAGGGTATTTTATAGGAAAATACACTAGTTTACCTTGCCGATATAAATCGCAAACCATTCCTGAAGATAAATGTTATTTTTATGCAAATAAGGATAGGTTACGTTTTTACTCCTAAACAAATTCAAACATTTCGTATTTGTGAGTTATTCTCAACAAAAGATGATAGACACATCCGCTTTGTTTTAAAATGTATAAAATAACGTATGTTTTTCGAATATAGTAGCGCATTTATTCACTTACTCACAAATACGAAATGATTGAATTTATTTAGAAGAAAAAACGTAACCTTTGTTTTTTGCATAAAAATAACATTTATCTTGCGGAATGGTTTGCGATTCACACCGGCAAGGTAAACACGTGCATTTTGTAATTATATGCTCTTTCAACGAACCCTGTATATTGCCCAATAAACTAGTAGTGATGGCCGGAAAACGGGTGTTTTTGGATAAACAATTAGAAATTCTCAAAAAACTGCTTGATCCATATAATCCAGTTTTGTTGTTGTTTTTGTAGTTGCGTGAAATTATCGTCGCATTACCAACAAGCGCCAAAACCTGTATTTTGCCTCATTTTTGCTATTAATTGGATCTTTTTACGTCTCATAAATATCCAAAACTCTTATATGAAAAGTTTTTTCGTCCATGTCAACATTTTCTCATTCTTTGTTGTCAAATGAAAATGTTTCCTTCAAAAACTAATGTATCCATTTTATACGTCCATGTTTTAAATACCCCCATTGAACTACTTGCACCAATAAAACCAAACTTTACAATTAATTTTTATTATAGTTTTCCAACGACTGGACCAATACTGTAATGATGATTGATAAATAGCATAAAACAAAACTGTTTACGGGTGGCCTTAGTCACAGAGACGGAAAGCAAGCAGGTCCTACTTAGTCTAATATTTTTCGTGCTTTATATACGCCTGAAACATTGTCAACTCATTCTGCCGTTCATCTACAAAATTTATTTCTTTTGCTAAGGAAACAAAGCAAGAATTCATCAAAATCGTCCACTACGCCGGCATGAACCTAAAAATAAAATCCTGCTATCCCGAAGCCGTATTTAAGGTAGAACCTTATAAATTCCTCGGGAAGACGGAACGTTACAACGAATTTCTGCGAACAAAAAAACACTTCCAAGCCAAGTGGATCCTGCATTATCCAGTTGTAAGAAAAATTCACAAGGAATGTGTAGACGGTTTACCTTACGAGCTAGTGGAAATCAAATTCCACAAGGCACTTGAGCTTGCCGAGGTAAAATATATCTTGAAAGACAAAGCGCACTTTGCTGCTCACCATGTTTATGAGTTTTATAATAAGATTGAGGCCATAGTAGAGCTGGAAGAAGCAAGGAAATCCAAGATGCGCATTGCGGATTACCTTCCTGCATCTACTGGCCTGCTCTCGGTGCATATTAGCAGGTAAGTCATTCCACATTAGAACCTGTAGAATGAATCAATTCCGAAAATAATTCCTCGCTGTAAAATAAAATGCGGCAACTAAGACGTTACTGTATTTATTTAACAAATTAGGGACATCAAACAGAGAAAATATCTAAAATAGACACCCACTGCTTAGTTAAACATACTAAAATGTAAGGATTGATCTACATATTATATGAAATATAAACACTCAATTCAGTCAAATTGAAATTATTACAAAGAATGGGAACGTAGCTTACCAGGGAATGGCCAACATTCTGTTTTTTACCAAGTATTTAAACTTTATCATTTCACAAGCAAAAGTATTAGTGAATTTGCTATAGTTGTTGAGATTTCTTTGCCTTCGTACCCGTGAAGAAATTAAAACAATATTAGTTCTACAAAACGGAATATTGAAGTACAGTGTCTAGGATTCACTGCTTTGCTTACTGAAGTAATATTGACTTTCTCTATCTGATACGCAAACTGAAATAGGTTTCTTTTCTTCGAGAACGTGATTGAAAAACTTTTTTTAGTGTTGAGTGGCAGGTCATTTCTCTGACAATAATCACTGAGTTTGTCTCAGATTGTATTTTGACGCAGTCTTGAAGGCTTTTAACTATACGATACATCTTTAAGTCATCTGCGTAAAGAAAAAACTGGCAATGGCTGAAGCATTGTGCGATATCATTTATATAAATTAAGAAGAGTAGTGGACCTAAGTGGCTACCCTGACGACTCCCGATAATGGACTAACGACTCTGGATACCCGTTTATACACACGGAGAATTCTCTATCGCGCAAATAAGATGAAACCCACATTACAAGAGGGCTACGAACACCAACCTCAGCAAGTTTAGCAAATTATGATTAACTCGATCAAAAGCCTTGCTGAAGTCGGTATAAATAGCATCGACTTGGAAATTTCTATCCAAAGCATCAGAAACGAAGTCAGATAAACAAAGCAAATTGATATCCAGGCATCTTTTCGGAAAAAAATCCATGCTGTTGCTGAATGATTACATTTTTTACATCAAAAAGTATTTCGTCATAGATTAGTTTTTCGAACATCGAGAATATGCACAGCTTGCTAATAGCCCTGTAATTGTCTGCCATGTACCTGTCTCTATTTTTAACAATAGGTATGACGGAGGATTTCTGCCAAGCATCGGGGAATGTGTTAAATTCTAAAGAGGTGTTGTAAATTAAAGTAAGAGGTTTGAATTCATGTTACACTTTTTTATAAATATTGGTGGTTTATTGTCAATTACAGCAGATTTCTTAATATCTATAGTGTCAATAATTTCAAGTACTTGCTTTTCACGGACTGTTTTCAAACCTTTGAGTATGCCTTCGTCCATAGGACTGTCGGAAACACTATTTGTAGAAGAAACGCTACTCGGCAAACAAATTACAGATTTCGATTGACTCATATGAACTTTTTTTACGTTAATGTAGTAACAACTTTAGAACTATGAATTGTCCCAACCTTGATGATTCGATGCAGGTAGACGGATCGCGTACCTGGCGCTCTCACGGGGGTGGGGGTGGTAAAGGGGGTAGCTACCCCCCCAGACGACTCGAGCAGACTTCGAAAAGATGGTATAAAGTAATCGTCTTATAAAAAAATCTGTAACTGTAAGAAAGGATAGCGGCAACACTGCCAACCCGCTCAGTGCGCATGCGACTAGCGGCTACTCTCCCACCAACAGCAACGGTGTGCGCTTCTTCCTGTTGGAACAGGTATAGTCTAGTCGTTTATGGTCTAGTCTAGTGTCTAAATTCTGTACCAGTCCGGAGTCCGCAACAAAATTTGGCTGAGAAGTGAACAAGCGGAGTTTTGTTGATCTGGTTGGTGTTAACGCTATTTTCTATGTTCTATTGATTTTTATATTATAAAAGAAGCGTGTCTAAAAAAATGACAGACGGAAAAATGGAAATATAATATAATTTCAATTACAATGTGTGTGGCCCTTACTCCAGCTAAACTCTGGGCGCTGAAGAAAGACATTAAACGTAAACAGTGATCAGCACGTGAACAGATCCCTCGAAAGCATCCACGGATATACTCCAGTCACTTTAGGTCTAAACATCCTCGGCAGTGTATTTCTAGTGAATCCACAGACCCTTTTTCGTGTCATCTTGAGACTAGAAAAAGGATGACTGTTAAAATAAGTTACCTCGATCTTTCATGAGCTCCCAGTACAAAACATCATCGATATATTTTTGATGTAGGAACAACAAATTGGTTTAGAAAACATCCACTTTGAACCTAAATTGACTGGAGTAACATCGATCTACAGACAAATTCAAGGTCACTAGCAGTCGTCGGCGCTCTACGAATCTGCACAGGTTTGGACTTGTAAACGTGATTGTAGATGACACGACAGGCATCTAACAGTTAATTCACGCACAGGATTGCATTGCATACGCATTACGCATTCAGTAGCGTATACTCGTTTTTCGCGAGTGGAACGTTTTGTTTATATATTGCCTAAGATACGATGTCTGACACAGATACAGCCGACGAAGTGGTTGACATCAGCGCAACCCCACCCAAAAAAAGGGCTAAGAAGCTACATTTAAGTGCAAATGAAAAACAAATAATATTAAATATATACAAAAACCAAATTCAAGAAAAACCCGATTTGGTCCAGTGTTTATAGGATCATTAAGGAATATAGGAGCACTCACTCACTTTCTGAGCCAAAACCGTATCCTGCAAGAAAAAGGATAACGGATGGTGTAGATGACTTTGACAGAACTGCCATCAGGAGGAAAGTGCATAATTTTTTCTTCCGAAATGAGATACCTACAGTAGATAAGATATTAAGATTAGTTAATGCTGATGAGGATCTTCCATCATTTAAAAGAACCACATTCCGAAAACTTTTGAAGGAACTTAATTTTCGATTCTTGAAACGGGGAAGAAACAGTATGTTAATAGAGAAAGAAGAAATTGTTGTGTGGAGAAGGGAATACCTTAGGAAGATTCGGAAGTTTCGCGATGAAAAAAGAAAAATTTACTATTTGGACGAAACGTGGGTGAATGCTGGACATACTCAAGCGAAAGTTTGGGTCGACAAATCAGTAACATCATCAAGGCAGGCTTTTCTAGACGGTCTTTCGGCTGGATTTTAAAATCCTGCAGGTAAGCTCCTTCATCTATCCGGCAATTTAATTTTGATAAATTCGGGCAAATAATATGCTGTGATAGCAGATAATGTGTGATATTCTCCAAAAATGGTGCATTCGCAGTGTAGTCATTAGGAAAAAAACTTCGACCCTCTTTTAAGCGTTATTTTGAAATTTATTATCATTTTTGGGTGCAGTCGATTTGCTTTGAATGGGTTTGGAGAAGTTGCAAACTTCAATTTTCTACGTTTTTCAGTTTTTGATCAGCATTCCGTGACTCTTAAATTCAGCTAAATGAACTCAATTGCCTCATTCCTTCAAATTTAATCAATCCATAGTGTAAGGAATAATTTATTTCCAGGAAAAGGCAAACGGCTGATCATTTGTCACGTAGGTAGTGAAGACGGCTTTGTTCCCGAAGCACTGTGGGCCTTTGAATCAAAAAAGACAGGGGACTATCATGAGGAGATGGACGGCAATTCCTTTGAAAATTGGTTCTCCAAAATGTTACTAAAACTGGAGAATAACGCTGTTATTGTACTGGATAATGCCCCGTACCATTCTAGAAAAATAGAAAAAATTCCCACAATGGCAACTAAAAAAGCAAACATACAACAATGGCTGGCCTCAAAACAGATCGATTTTGATGAAACAATGGTCAAGGGTGAATTGATAAGTATAGTCATTAGACATAAATACAAATACGATTTTAAAATGATCGACGAAATGGTCAAAAAACAAAATAAAACTGTCTTGAGACTGCCACCCTACCATTGTGAGCTGAACCCTATTGAGCTGGTTTGGGCCAACATAAAGCAATACGTGGCGTCGAATAATAATACTTATAAATTTTCTGATGTTAAAAATCTCTTTCACATCGCAGTCAAGGCAGAGGAATGGAAAAACTGTATCCGCCACGTTCGGGAGAAGGGTGAGGTCAAAATGTGGGATTTGGACAATGTCATCGATACCCAAATTGAACCTCTAATAATTCATTTAAACGATTCAGAAGATTCAAGCTCCTCTTCTGAATGAGTGCGCGCAGCTTACTTACTAATAACTAAAAAGTGTAGTTAACTCATTTGTGAATCTCTAACTGAAATTTACTGTAAAAGATAATAATTATCTTGTATGAAATTTTTGATGACTACCCATAATATCTTGATGCGGTCCTGTAATGTCTCCTGCGCCTAAACACTCACTCACGAGCAATATGCGTGTATTTGTTTGGGTTTAGTTTCTTTCTTCAGCGCCTAGAGTATACATGTATAGTCGAAATCCCGAAAGATGACGATTCCGTCATCATTTTAGTCTGTAGCAAAGACAAACGACAGCGATTTGTCAATATATTTAATGAAGTTTCTGATATGTTAGACAGAGACAAACAGAATTTTATTGTCTAAACAAACTGTATTGCGAATTTGGTGAATAGTTAGGTTATGTTAAAGCAGGTTATGTTGTTTTCGAGTAAAACTTTGGTCTTTGGTGTTCCTGTCTTCAGGTATTCTACTCATAACTATTTTTTTCAAAACAAAAGCTCTCCACTAAAATTATTATCAAGGTATTACACAAAACCATGAAATAAAGTGAAAATACAAATAATCAGTGAAATAACCTAACTTCGCAAAATCATAATATAAATTTGTTGTCATTATGTTCCTGACATCGTGATTTTATCATCGTCGCACGTCCATTGATTACTTCAGTACAATTTATGGTATGACGTAATAGTCATCTTTCGTGATTTTGACTATATCATTATCATCTATGTCTATTTTGTCTCGGAAGTCTCTGTATATAAGCACTTCAGTGCATTTTGTTCGTCCCAGATGACAAATTAAATATTTAGTTTCTGGAAATTACGTGAACTTAAGAAATCTTATTTTCCAAACAGAAGAGTTTCTTTGTTATGAGATACGTGAATGCGTGGAAACCAATAATGCCATGTATTTGACAATATTTGTGTAACTTTTAGTGCTGGTTGACGGCTGCTGTTGAGGATGAGTAAAAGGAAACAGAATACCATCGATTGGTTACTTTCTAAACAAATCAAACTGTCTGATCCACCGGCACAAGAATTACCGGAATAAAATGATGATAATTCTACAATTCAACTTGAGCCTTCCACTTCAGAATTTCTTGATATTGTACCGTATGCTGAACCAAGTGTTTCACAATCGGGTGCGAAACCTAAAGGATCCAATTCTGTTGATGATGCGACATCTGTAAATTTCAGCGGCAACTTGTCTTCCCATGAAAAATATACCTTATTGAGGTGTGCAATGATCCCTAATGACTCTTTCAAATATCCGTATTCCACACACTTGAAAAATTATAAAGAGGTGAAATGTTACTTATCAAAAAAACACTTTGAGAAATTTCCTTGGCTGTCATATTCAGAGGAACTACAAGGGCTTTTCTGTAAATATTCCATGGTTTTTGCAAAATTATAAGGAGTACATAAATCAACTAAATTGGGAAAACTTGTTACCGTACCACTAGAGAAATTTTCGAAATTGTATGGCAACACCGGTGATTCTGAGACGCCAAAATATACCACTTAGAGGGCATAGAGATAGGGGACGACTTTTTTCTAATGACAGCACGAATGACAAGGATATCCTTAATAATGAAGGGAATTTTAGAGAACTAATACAGTTTAGAGTCGAGAGCGGCGACAATTTATTGAAAAAAAAATTAGAGAACTCAAGCAGTCGCATCCAAAATGAAATTATAGAATGTTGTGGCGAAGAAATCTCGGATATAGTTTTAAGTCGCGTCAGGCAAAGTCAGTATTACAGTATTATATTTGAGGAAACTACAGACATTAGCCATAAATCACAAATCTCAATCGTTCACTATATTTTTAACAAAAACATATTAACGAGGACTTCATGGGATTTGTGGTTTGCTACTCAAATTTTGATGTAGATATAATGGAGCCCAAACTCACAGGCCAAATTCTTGCTCAAACAGTCAAGCATTTCATTAAAACCAATAACAGACTCAAAACTATGTATGGGCATTGATACTGATATGTGTAACCTAATGATAGGTGAAAAGGGCGCTGTAATGGAATTGCAAAAGTGTTTGCCAAATGCTCTAAAAATCCCTTGCGCAAATCATGCCTTGAATCTTTCGATTCGATACTGTAGGTATACTGAAGGAAGTAATTGCGTTCTTCAAATCATCCGCTAATTCATAGTATGTGCGCAACACGATGGACCGAGAGACATGATTCTGCGTTCCGATTTGAAAGCCAATTCGAGAAAATTGTAAAGATACTAAATATTATATCAAATTGGAAAGGCCGCGAAGCTTCTTCAAAAGCGGAGTCTTTCTTACATCAAAAGATGGTTTCGTAGTAGCTGAATTTCTTCGTTTCTTTACTTCTAAAGCTCCTTGTATATCACTCCTTGATTGTCCCCCCCTCCTATTTTTTATCCCTCTCCAATTTTACACAGCGTTTGAACAACAACAATCTTAAAAGTTTTTTGTTCCATTGGATTTATATTTTTGGTCAGACGGACTTTTTTATTTATAAAGAAGCCATGCGTTTGCTATGGCAACAACGATTAAGTAATAAAATAATCTAAAATACAATTTTTTTGGAGCTCATTTTGATTTTCTGACGCCCGATATGGTTTCCAAACTGATCTATGCCACTCATTGTGCTTGTTATGGATTGTAACAACTTCGGGACATCTTATTCCTTAGTATTCTTTATTTTTTCGATCAAATCTTCAAGAAAAAAATATGAATGTTTGAACTAATTCAGGATCCTTCTTTTTTGCATTCAACGGCTTCCGCACTAGACTATCACCACATTCACATAAAAAACCAGGGCAGAGCTTTTGGGGGATGACACACCTGTTTGCCATTAGCCAGTATATTAATATTGCGATAAGTACGTGAGTAAAAACTTTAACATATATGCTAAGTATCGCTAAGCTGAGCAAAAGGTAGAATCGTTTAATTCATATTATTATGCGTATGACATTAGTGATAACATTTAACCTTGGCGATCGAATCATCAGCTGGTCCAAGTGAGCACAAGCGATGCCCTTTCATCCTTTGTGGTATTAGGTGTTTCGATTGATCAATTATTATTTCCTTATAATCGATTTTAGTTTTCTTGATCTTATTAATCGACTTTTATTAAATCGATTATATAAACTACTCATTTTAATCGATTTTTGTTAACAGTCGCATCTGTATGAAAGATGCAAAAACTCGAAGTGAGTCCCACGAATTTGAAGAGTTTCAAATATTTTCCAGAAGCCATCACCGCATTACTAACAAGTGCCAAAACATGCAGTTTGTCTCGGTTTTTGGCCATAACTTTTTTGCTATCAGTCGGATCTTTTTACATGAGTTCTCATTTTGTAGGTCTCGTTAAAGCCCTACTATGAAGAGTTTTTTCGTTTCCGCCAATACTTTGGATTGAATTTCGCATTCTTTGTTGTCGCTTAAAAAGTTTTCCCACACAAATTGGTGTAACCATTTTATGCGTACATGTTTTGAATACCACCTTGAACAACTTGCAGCAATAAAACCAGACTTTACAATTATTGCGCAAACCAAGAGTATTTTCGTCTAATATGAGACTATATGTTTGCCGCTACAAAATGACGCGTAGATATTATGAACTCCCCTTAATATGAGTATAAAATATATATACACCATAAAAATTCAATCTAAGGCAACCGCCGCTACCAAAAACAGTTATACATATTTTTTCAATCAATATCTTCAAAGTTTAACGGATTTATTGTAAAGAAATTCAATATTGCATTTTCCTCACACATCCAAGGGTCTTTCACTTTTGAAACCAGGAGTCTGTCGTTTTGTGCTGATATAGAAAACCGCGTAGTTTGTCGAGTATTAGAAGAAACTGCATTTTTCTAAAAAAATCCATTTATTTTTCGTCTAAAATCGATTTGTCGCACATCCTTAATATTGAAGAAGAAAAAAATTCGATTTTCCATTATTCTATTTTTTTCCTATTGTCACACTACTAGTGTTCCAAAGACGTAAGTCGCGTTTTATGGACTTTCTTTTCTTTATTTGCAAAAAAAATGCAAAGTCTTAGCGATTTTTATTCTGATGTCAAAACCTTTATGGCTTTTTCATTCTTGGCATAGCAATTATATTGTTTCCAAATTTCAAGGGCAGCTTACCGAGTTATGCGAGATCAAGAATTAGTGGACAGACAGACTGACAGACAAGCAGATCGACAGACCGACGGAAATGAATGACATGGTGTTTTGTTGCGGAGATGTATATGTAACGTCCAAAAAACAATATCTTATTTACGACTTATTTTGCAACTACAGTTTAGCTAGCCAATTGGCATGGGAACAAGAAAATCTACCAGGTACCTCCCCCAGTTTTACAGTATTTTCTATTTTTCAAGGAAAAGTTCAGCTATCTGTCAAAACTTTCAGCTGAAAAAGTTATTACCGAATAAGTGATATTTTCGCCGTAACAACCGTTACTTTGCAAATGCGTCACAAAGTCGAAATTACGAGTCCAACCTAAGATCTTACATTTTCAGGTGCATCGCTCATACGCTTATCTACATAGTAAACAGCTTTAGCTTGAAAGAAACAAAATCATTCTTGATACTGAACGTATCATTCGATGACGGCCTAGTACTAACCCCTACAGCTAACGAAGTCATAGACGTACTTCACGATTTCCTGAGCAGAATTCTTACTGTCGGGAATGAAGTATTCGAACTAGAACGCAAAAAAGGAAAGATGAAGTTTGAAAGAAAGCCTGTTAACTTATGTCTTACAGAGGAATTTTTAGAAAATTGTAGGCACAACATTGAGCAGAGTATAACCGCGCTGTATAAGCCTATAATATTGTATTTGGAGCAGTTAGGGGAAAAGTTTGTGAATATATACAAGGATATAAATTCAGCGGAGTTTCTGGATTCAATTAATGACATCGACTTTGACGAGGGTTGCGAGAAAATACGTAACTTCAAGACATACTTGGAAAACGTTTTGTATATACAGGACCAGGAATTTTTCCAAATAGGGAAGATTATTCTCAAGGACTATCGTCGAAATATTCATGACGGGTATGTTTGAACTATAGTATATTGCCTCTAAGATAAATAAGTATTTCCGAAGAATATATTTTTGACAAGAATTACGTACGAGCCCCTTCCCACTTCAGCTGGCACAACTATTGAAATCTTAGTTTTTTTCTTATCAAACACAAATAATAAAAATGTACCAGGGTGTTATAGGTTTAAAATATTAACAATGAATATTTTGATAATATATAGTAGAAAACACCAAAATTATCACTCCCTAATCAAATTTGTAGCATAAAAATAACACATGTTGCAATTACAGCATATCAACCTATTTTCATTTCAATGCAAAATAAGTCTATAACGCATAGGTGGCTGTGAAAAATAAAAGCCATGACAATTGTTTTTATTAATCACAGCTGTCAAAATACGTTTAAAATAGTTTTGGATAGTGAAGGTTTTCAAATAGGTAGAGGAAAGGTTATTAGTGAGAAAATTCGTTTACTGATAATAAAATTTTTTAATTCTGGGAAATCAGACTCAGAAATTGCAACTTTATTAGACTTATCGCGGTACAGTGTGAGAAATACTGTTAGAAGATATAACGTAACTGTTTCAGTTAATATTAAGCCACGATATGTGTAAAAAAGTAATATCACAAATGCCGACCGAAGAGCATTAAGAAGAATAATCGTGAAAAACAGGCGTGCCAATTTATTTACAATTAAGTGCTCTGTGGAGTGATGCTGTTGGAAGGAGAATTTCGAGGTCCACAACTCATATAGAGGCCCACAAACTGGGCTTTAGCACTTGCAAGGTAAGTTTTCTTATAAAAAAAAGTGAAGTAAAAACCATAAAGTTGCACAAGTCGTTTATAGGCCAAAGAAAAGCCACTATTAACTCCACTGCAAAAGAAAAATCGGCTTAGATGGGCTAAAGAACATAGACAATGGACACCTCAACAATGGTGTGCAATACAATGGAGTGATGAGGCCCGATTCGAAGTTTATGTTGGTGACAGTCGCAGTAGAGTTATTCGCAAAAAAATGAAGCATTCCATGTTGACTGTCTGAAGAGAAAAGAGAAATTTCCAGCATCCATTATGGTCTGGGGCAGTATGTCATCAAAAGGAGTAGGAAAACTTCATTTTATTGATGGAAATGTGGATACAAACAAATATTTGGCAATTTTAGAAGAATCGCTTTTACCAGTGATGGAAGAATGTTTGACATCCGGCCAAGATTTTGTGTTTCAGCAAGATGGTGCAGCGTGCCATACCTCAAAAAAGGCTATCAAATGGATGGAAGAAAGTAATGTACCACTATTGAAATGGGTTTCTAGCAGTCCAGACCTGTCACCTATTGAAACTTTGTGGCACGAAATGAAAAGGGTTCTACGACAGCATCCTGCTTGTACAATCACCGAACTGAGACAAAAGCTTCAAGAAATATGAGATTGTTTTACACCAAATTTTTGCCAAAACTTGGTTAACACTATGCGCCAAAGAATTTTAGCCGTAATAAAAAATAAAGGTGATGTTACCCAATGGTAATCTTTCAATTGTTGCTTTGTTAACTTCGCGCATTTATTCGCACATTGTTTATTTGTTCAGATGTTCTATTAGTTATAGGTCTAAGTGATTTCAAATATGTATTTTTTACGACTAGAGTGTATCTAAAATGTTTTTGAGAAAATAAATTGTTTTAGAAGTAAATAGTTTCGTCATGTTTAGTTTATAAAGGCATATTTTGGTACAAATCTTGAAGTAGGCCAACTGAGGTGGAAAAGGGCTCGTATCTACCTATCGTGTACATTGGAATACAACTGATTAAAATGCTCTGTATTTTCCATTGAAGGTATCAGCAAATAGGATTTGATCTTAATTCCCGATACAGATAGGACGAAATCACACATTTCATGTCAAACTGTGAATGTAAGACGGTGATGCTGCCACTTCTAGTTCACAGTACAAACTGAAAACAATAAATTTAAGTACTCACTACTTGTCTTGATTTTCAAACTTTTTGACTTGACTTAAAATCAAGTGAAGCTCAAGTCAAGTATTAGATCAAGTCTGGAAGTAGTTACATCAAGTACTTGAAAATTCAAGTAGTCTTGATATTACTTGATAATAATATAAATACGAGCAGATTATAAATACAAAACAGAAAGACTTTTGACAAATTACAGAGAAAACAATACATTGAACAAAATAGTTTGTTCATTGCATAGCAAATAAAAGAACGATAAATCTGTAAACTCAATTAGAAAAAAAACATTTTTGTTTATCATCCGATACAAAAAATGAAAAATTCGGAATTAACTTTCCATGCGCTAGATACGAGAGCCTAATGGATTTATAGCTTAATCTGTTCGGGCTCCCGTAATGGTCAGTGTAGTCCCTTTAATGGATGCTGATATTGCAGATGTCGATAAAAAATCTCTTGTCATTAAAACCAGATTTGGGAATACATTTTCAGACCGTTTCCATCACTCGTGATTATTTGCATTAAAATACAAAATACGGATCATCGGTCGTACAAATAAATATCACTGAAGGCGTTTAGGACAAAAATATAATTTGGCATCAAGTATCAAGTAAAAATTTAAGAAAATCAAGTCAGTTCAACCGTTATCGTTTCAAGAAGGTAATTTTTGTTTTCAAATCAGGTAATTGCTAAAAAGATCAAGTTACTTGACTCGATGCATCCCTAATCAAAATATGCATTTTGGATAATATCTTTTAACTTCAACATCTAAAACATAATTCTCTTGTAGATGTAAGACTTATGAATAATTAACATTTTGTTTTTGTAGACTGAAGAACAACATTACCAAAATATTCGGAAAATTATCATCACAACACTTGTGGGAGGTGACTGACCTGAATGACACGTTTCAAATGATAGCTACCAGGGCAACAGAAAAACCTTCAACAACTGAAGAATTGATGGAAACAGGAAGGCTCATGACCAGTGTAAAAAATGAACAATTAGGAGAGCTAAACTTGAGGGTTGAAAATTCCATACTAGCACTATGCAAAATTATCGATTTAGGAGAACTAACATCAGAACATGTCCTTCTGAACTCAAGAGTGGTGAAATGGGTGGATGATATTTTACCGATATTAGACGAGCACACAGCTACCTATGAACAGCTGAAGTTTGATGCAGAGGATAAACTACAAAAAATTGTTGAAGATGTAAACGATTACATTCAAGATGTTTATCCACTTTTGGTTATGTTGGATGATATGGACGACATTTCCAAAGTTAGGACCTACTTGCATCAATTCTCTGGACTGATGATTAAAATAAAGGAGATTCAGAAGCATATTGATTGGATCAATAAGGAAGAGGTGAGTATTCACCCTGTACCATCTCAATACATTGCCTTGACAGCTTTTTGAAGAGATCCTCCAAACCATACTTCATTAATGGGAGGGATAGTTTTGGTACGAAGAAAGCTTTCTACCTGCAAAACGTATGATTTATAGCTTTAAAAACAGAAGCCATTCGTAAAGCCTGTAAGTGATCACCCAGCTGTTTGGCTTTGGGAAACTTAACACGCTTTAGTTTAGTATTAGAAGATTATCAGTCTGAAATTCAATATTTTTCTAAATACCCTGCGAGCTCCGTAGCTGTTTTCGCGCAGTGATTGTGCATGAACGCAAAACGATAAACGCGTTAAGCTTTGACGATTTGGGGATCGCGTACCGTTGAATTTAGCTCGTTTCCTCGAGCTGCTTATGTGAAACAAGGATAGATGAACCGCCCGGTTCACACCTTACTATTCTGTTTTTTTCTGTTCTATGACTATGGATCTACCAACCCACAATTGACAAAATGTTTAGAGATGAGTCTTTGTAGATATTTTGTGGGGATAGGTGCCTCTGTATGTGAGACTACGAGGTAATAAAAAGCCACAAAAAGATAAAATTATTATTCAGCAATGGACGGTTTCGAGTGGTGGAAAAAGAAATAAAATAAAGTTTCACCAAGGGTATTAAGAATCTCCCAAAAGCGAAGATGCCTCAATATGACAACCTTCTGTGCAGACCTCACGTTCACCTCTCACTTCCTCACCACACAATGGCGCATCACAACATGCCGACTATTGGTCTGAGGTACGCATACTTAACATCCATGCTTGTATTGGCCAGAGGTAAGTAACTAGAGCGACCGATGCAGGATTTTTTGCCGGTATCGATAATCGACCGATATAGGCTGATATATCGGCTTCAGGAAGGTTTCTATGTAAATCATACAATGACAATCACAACAGTAGTGACATAAGCTCTAGTGAGGACGGAAGTGTGCTTATGGTGGTATTTGCGAAAGAAGAAAATGAAACTTTATGTTCACCTGTTGATCAAGGTCGTCAGACAAAACTGACATAAGCGATCCTGTCAAATGCATTAGAAAATTTCGAAGCCTATATGACTTGAATTTTCGTTTATAAGCTGCAAAAACATAGAATCTAGAGAAAAATCCTCCAACTAAAAATTATCCTTGGAAACGTGAAACTAGTGCTGCAGGAAAGTATTTTATGAAATCTGGTTTGGTAAAATTACGTTTCATAGGTCTTTTTGTCTGCAAACAAATTCACTTTAATGAAATGAGTTCCATGTCGATTTTGGAGACATTAAACCTAAGGGCTCGCGCACACAGGAAGCGCACAAGCGTTTCGGGT